TGAGTACTAACTATATACCTATCTACCTCATAGAGTTACTATAGAAAGTAAGTTATAATAGAAGGTAAGCATTAGCTGTATGCTTAATTATGGTGTTGCTTCCATCCATGTTGCTGAGTAATGTAACAGCTATTTTTGATATCGACTATAATGTTGTCTACTGTTTAACTTTATAAGATAGATGACTTAACTAATACCCTTTCTTACCATCGCCTTGCCTTTTCCAATATATTATATCACTGCTTTAAGTTGTTGACATCTATAGTCTGTTCACTGTAAGAGCAGTTTGGGTTTTTATTATTATTGTTATTTTCATTTTCATGCTGTGTGGATCATATTTTCATGTTTGCTTGAATTTTTGTAATTTTTTTGGGGGGGTAGAAACAAATTTCAGTTTAATACATTATAGTAATTCTTGGATAATGGTTTTTTCCTACCCCAGTGCTTGTAATTGCTTTGTTTGTTTCTGAGGATTTTTTTCTTTTTTTTTTATTGGATATTTTATTTATTTATATTTCAGATGCCATCCCCTTTCCACATTTCCCCTCCCTAGAAACCACCTCTCTCATCCCCCCTCCTCCTTTTTGCTTTTATACCATTTTAATTACATTGAGTATCACAGAACCTTGGTCTTCTGAAAAAAGCTTTGCAAGTACTGGAAGTGAGTCAGGCTTTAAGGAGAAGCAAGAGGGTAGTAGGCTTGATTATTGCTGGTATAACAGCTTTAGTTACATTAATTGCTAGCACCACTGCTTCTGCAATTGCTTTGACACAAGAAGTTAAGACAGTTACTTTTCTATATATATATATATACATATATACATATATATATATATATATATATATATATATATATATATAGTTGTTGTTGTTGTTTGGTTTGGTTTGGTTTTGTTTTTCGAGACAGGATTTTTCTGTGTGTAGCCCTGGCTGTCCTGGAACTTACTCTGTAGACCAGGCTAGCCTCGAACTCTCAAACTCAGAGATCCGCCTGCCTCTGCCTCCCAAGTGCTGGGATTAAAGGCGTGCGCCACCACCGCCCGGCAACAGTTACTTTTCTTAATCATTTAGCAAAAAGTGTTACTAATGTGTTGAATATACAAGAGGATTTAGATAGGCATTTGGAACAACAGATTGAGACAGGATTTCTTAAATTTCATACAAGCTTGGTTTTGATTTACCCTCTCCCAGCTCCCCATCCTCCACCTCTTAAACAAACACTTTCTCTCTCAATTCTTGTCCTTCTACTGTATCATCACGTGAGATCATTGAAACAGGGTCTTACCCTGTAGTCAAGACTAACCTTCAACTTAAGATTTGTGCTACGTTTATAGGTGTGTACCAGAATGCCAAGCTGCTTGCTTGATTTCTAGTTACTTATCTAGATTATTCTAGTACAACATGTATCTCTTTTCAGTGTTAATTTCTGAGTTTGAATCTATTTTTTCTGATACTGCCGTGAAGTATACCTTGTTCTATAAACTGATCAATTAAAATGTGGCTCCTTCAGCAGTAGTTTCTTTGGTCAGTGGTTGATATTTGTTTGATCCTAGAAGAGATGCTCCCAGCCTTTTTATAGTCTGGTTCTCCTGTGGAAGCTCAGTAGCCAAAGGTCTTAAGGTGTGTTTCTTTCTTCCTTTCTTTTTTTTTTTTCTTTTTGTTTTTGGTTTTTCGAGACAGGGTTTCTCTGTGTAGCCCTGGCTGTCCTGGAACTCACTCTGTAGACCAGGCTGGCCTCAGACTCAGAAATCCTTCTGCCTCTGCCTCCTAAGTGCTGGGATTAAAGGCATGCACCACCACTGCCCAGCTCTTAAGGTGTATTTCTTAAATGCATATATCTTCAATGAGTCTCGGTAGTCTGTTGTGCACCAAGTTGGCTTTATTAGGAAGATATTTGGAGGTTGTTTTGATCTGCTCTGTCTTCCTGTCAGCAGGGTATCTGTGCCAAGGTTCTGAAAGTCATGGTGGGAAGGAAACAGCTAGGTTTCTCTTGGGTGAAAGTCCAGTTCTATGAACAGAGAGCCCTGTGGTGTCAGGGACAGGTTGATAGGCTTTAGCTGTTCTCTGTATGGAACCATAACTCTGTGGGCAGGGAACAGGCAATCAGGGCCTCTCAGTACTGTCTTCTCAGGGTAGACTCCCCAATCTGCAATTCACGTTTAGACCAAAGAACAGTCGTAATCTTTTACTGTGCTGTTAAAACGTAGTGTAGCCCTGTAACAGGTAGCTGGAGATTGGTGAAAAGTACTGCTCAGTCTTTCCATCTAGATACAAAGCCCTCCACCTGGAGCTACAGCAGTCTAGATGGGTCTGTCTCCCTGAGCTCGTGGAGAGAAAGGGAGCCATCTTGATCAGACTTGGCTTTCTTACTAAGTTTTATAGGATCATTTAAAGGACTTTGTTTTAATTTTCTTTTAAATTTTTTTTCAGAGTTTACTGGGGAGCAGGTAAATGATCTCCTTACACTGTTCCTTAATTCTAGTCTTCCTAAGGTTAGTGTTTAAGTTTTCTATAGTAGGAAATGCACATAGCTCACTAAAGAAGGCGAGTTTTCTGTAAGCCTGAGTGGGAAAACAATCGCTTTTGAGTTGATAGGAGAGGGGAGGAGGGCAGGAGGTGGGAGGAGGAGGACAGGGGGTGGGAGGAGGAGGACAGGAGGTGGGAGGATGGGAAGGTAAAGGCAGAGTAGAAGCAGCGTGTTTTGCTGCTGTTGGGCTTCCTCGTGGATAAGGAAATGCTTGGTCTTAAACAATTTTGGGGTGTAAACATGTAGATTCTTTTGACTGGCTTGTGAATGACAGCTTTATTGTTTAATGTATTCATCTTAAATAAGATACATACTTTTTTTAGTTTTAATGTATTTTATGTATAAACATTGTTAGCAAAACACTGTAGGCATTGATAAATTCAGGTTAGACTATATATCATACACTGTAATTGGTGCTCCTTTGAGACTTGTGACATGTTTTAACAAGAATTGATTGTTTAGAGCAGCTATGATTTAGCTAAATAACTTAAGAGTATTAATGCTGAAGTTTCTAGAGAATATAGTGATATTTGTAATGTTTAAGTTAATAGATTATAGATTCTTCTGAAACTTAAGGCTTGTATTTTCTTTTCTTTTCTTTCTTTCTTTTTTTTTTTTTTTTGGTTTTTCGAGACAGGGTTTCTCTGTGTAGTCCTGGCTGTCCTGGAACTCACTCTGTAGACCAGGCTGGCCTCGAACTCAGAAATCCGCCTGCCTCTGCCTCCCAAGTGCTGGGATTAAAGGCGTGTGCCACTACCGCCCAGCAAGGCTTGTATTTTCAAAGCTCTCAGATACAATATTCTATCAATATATAGTTTCTGATCTTTTTTAATCTCCAAAAATTTGGAATATATTTGAGTTAAATGGCTTCAGAAGCAAATTAGTGTAATCTTGTGGCAGATCTGGGGGACTTTTCTGCTTTCTGTATTAGTTTAAAACCAGAAGAAAACAATAAGCATTGTCTGTTCCTACTTCTCCTTTGTGTAGGAGATTTTCCTTTATTCATGGTTATTGTGAAAAAAGACTTTCCCTCCTGTATCAGCATCCTTCAAAATAAATCATAGTACACTACTGTTACCTTCCACATGTTTAATTTTTAGTGTTTGACTTTATAAATCAGCTCAACAGTACTGAAGTACTGGATGTGAGAAACCCTGGCTGATTTGTGAAAGTCACAGGTTTTGTGAGATGAAGACATACTGGAGACTGTAAGGGCTTCAGTGGCCAGTGTTTTAAATGACTACCAGATAAAGAGGAAAAAAGCCAGCGTGTTTAGTTTGCTATGATCTGAGATCTAAGCCAAGTAGAAAAAAGAAGCATGGGAACTCCTCTCTTAAGGAGCCAGGAAAGAACCAAAGGTCTGAAGTCATATGCACGCTACCTTCAGGAGCATGCAGTGACTTCCTAGACAGAAAGGCTTGCTATATTAAGAGAATGTATGATTAAAAACATGAACTGTGATGGCCTTTGTGTGTGAAACTGAGAATCTCAGTCTCCTTAAATCTTTCTTAGAATCAACAATATGTTACCTAGGCTGGTTTTAAACTGCTGTGTTCAAATGATCAAGAGGCCTTAACCTCTTTAGTAGCTGGGATTACGGATTTGTGTCACCACACTCAAATATTTCTTGTTTTGTCATTTTAAACCATAAACTTTTCTGCACAGGCAAATGTCATGGCTCATGTAGATTGAGAATCATAGAGCTTCAGAGCCCAGGTTCTCTCTTATTGTTTGTCGTTTTCTTTAATGGAGGAGCAACATTTGTGATTGAGTTAAAGTTTTGGTCTTTATAAACTCCTACAATTTATAACTCAACATAGGCATCTCCATAAGAAAAGGACTATTTTAATAATAATCACACAGTGTTCCAATAAGTCATAGGTAGCTGAGCTGTTACATAGTTTGGGCAGTGATGAAGTCAGTATAGCTTGAATTCTGGTTGGACCATGGCTGTGTAAAGTTGAATCAGACCTTCAGTAACCTTTGTAAACTTCACTGTCTGGAGAAGGGGGAGTGCACAGCAGCACCCAATCTGGAGTGTGAGTATTAAGAAAACTCATATAAAGCAATTCCCATTGCTAACAATATCTTTAGTAGTTATCTTTTCTACTGTTTATGTATTATCATTATTATGTACTAATCATTGTCATCTTGTGTCCACTGACAGTGCATTCTAAATTTTGATCAGGTACTATAGGAGATGCTTCTCATCTGGTCCAAAGAATCTGTCTCCATCCAAACTTTAGGGCCTCCTGGATCCTCTGGGTTTTCCTTTTCTGTATTCTAAGTGTCCTGGGCTTGTCAATAAAAGTGTCCAGAGAAGGCACCATTACCTTCCAGTTGTGCTATGCTTTGGTTTTGTAGAGCAAACACACTATTAAATGTTTTGAGTCTTTTGTTAAATAGGTAGGTATTCAGTTTGCTCTAAACTGATTATTATTCAGAAATTTAGACTTATCTTTACTTTTATCAGGTTTAAGCCGTTTTTTCCATACCAAGCCTTGCAAGGATTTGAAGAAGATGAAGAACTTATCCATATTCAACAATGGGCACTTACAGAAGGCCGGCTTAAAGTTACATTGTTAGAATGTAGCAGGTATGTTCTTTGTTTTCTCTTTACTTTATGTGGTTAAGAAAGTATGATGGAAATATATTAAGGACTGTTTATGTTTATTCTGCTTTAATTTTAGTTTATGTTGCATTATTTTTACCTATAAATACTTTATATATAAATTTAATGCAAATAGTCATTTCCAGTTTGCAAAAATAAATCATATTTAGAAAGTCACTTGGAAGCAATTATTTTTGCAATAATTCCCAATTTTTTAGATGAATAGTGCTATGCTGACATTTTTGCCTATTGGAGAGCATTCCTAGCATAGTAGTTTTATGAGTTATGATTATTAAAAATGCTCACTAAGTGACTAAATCAGACTATGAACACTGCATTTGGAAGTAGTCATCCCTAGGCTCAGTAAATTACCACTATATTTCAAGCTGTGTTTATTTCTTGCCTAAATTAACAGGCAGAATGACCTTTAAAATGCAATTTAGTCGTCACTCTCCTACTTAAAGCTCAGTGGCTTCCCTTTTGCTCCTAGGATGGCATCCAGATCTTCCCCTGACCTATGAGTGTCTTTTTATCCAGCTTCTTTTTCCCTGCCTTCTGTTCAGTCCTTAATTCATAGAGTGTTGGTTACACAGGCCTTCCTAAGAGAATGTTTGACAAGATATCCTCCGAAAAGCCATGTAGCAGATACGGGCATGGTGATTTCCCCTATTATCTACCATGTCTCCCCAACTCTGTGTACTGCAGAGCCAGTCACAGGCAATGCATAAATGAACTGGCTTGGCTTTGGCCTGGAACCTGGTCACTTTCAGTTAGGTTTTATGTGTAATGAAGTGGTATTTCGATTTTCTTTTTAACCACTTAAAAATGTAAAATTGTTGATAGCCCACATAAAACAGGCAATTGCCTAGATTTGGACCACAGCCTGCCACTTTTCTGCCTAAATATCTTAAAGGACAAGCTCCATCTGCCTTCTTGGCCCATACTGCCTCATGCTTTTGAAACCAGCCTGTCCTAGTACTCACGCTACCTCCTTAATACCTGCTTTGCCTTCTAAATACAGTAGTACCCTGTCCTTAGACTACATTTCTCCATGACAGTTGATTATACTACTGACTACTTGTAACTTCTCATTTTCATTCCTAACTCATGATACAGATAAGTACTTGAGTAGTAGGGTTGTTAATACATTTGAGTCTTTGCCAATAGATAATTATGAGTATATTGATTTTTCTAATTCATTTTCTTAAGTCTTGTGATAACTAACGGTTATGCTTCGTTCTGTCAGAAAGTCTTGACAAGAGTCTTATTGAAAAAAAAAAAGGAGACCAAATATGCTGTTATATCATAAAAGGAACCCCATCGTGTATAATAAAACAGAAACAATAGGTATGAGGCTAGGTCTTTAGACAGAGAGTGACCCCAGAAGGGTAAAAAGAGAAAAACAATCAAAGTGCCCTTTAGAAGGCTCAGAAAACTAGAATTTTATATTTTGGAAATAATATAAAGGTCTAACACCTTTCAAGATAGTATGAAAAAGTTTGTAATGAATAGAATATTCAACAGTTTTAAAAGAATAAAAGACAATTTAAAGTGTCTGTAGACCACTTGTACATAGGTAAAGTTCTTCTGAATTGGCTTGCTGTGATAAGCTGAAGTTTGCTAGAGTTGTAGTACACACATACACACACATACATACACACTCATTCTTTTTTTGAATGATACTTTAAAAACATGTCTACATTAATGTCTTGTGAATAATTTACTGTTATAGTTTTAGCTTAATATTTTTATAAATGTTACTAAGCTTTTAAAAATCTGACCTTGCATCAAGTTGAAAAACAAAACAAAAATTAGGACTGAAGAGATGGCTCTGGAGTTGAGACTTTGTACTTTTCCAGTGCTCCTGAGATGTGTTTCCAGCACTCGTACCAGGCAACTCAAAACTGCCTATATAGTTTTTTTCTTTTTTTTTTTTAAACTGTTCATTTTGAAATAATGAAAAAGTTGTGTGTCAATAGTTCTTAAACATTTTTTACTGTTTATTTTGAAGTAATTTCAGATTTAAAAGCATGCATAAAGGTTTTTTAAACCAAACTAATGTTAAAAGATTTTGAGTGTATTTTCCCAATGAAATAAATGACTTTATATGTTATATATGTTTTTTATGTGTATGAGTGTTTTGCTTGCAGTTTGTGTGTGCACCATGTGTGTATCTGGTGCCTGCAGAAGTCAGAAGAGAGCATCTAATCTCTGTGGAACCAGAGTCACAGATGGTTGTAGAACTCAGTGTAGTTATAGTAAGAAGATAAATAACTCAAAAACAACTCTGTAGAGATCAGTTTTTTCATACCAAACAAAACTTAGTGAATTTCTTAGTTTACACTTATTTTTTAAATTTATTTTTTAACTGACAAAATGTGTTTCTCTTCTATAGCATGCTTTAAAATATGCATATAAAGTTACAAAATCTAGGTAGTCATGATTTTCCTAAGGTTCATATATCTGCTGATGAATTATACATGTTGATTAGAAAATGATTTTGGCTCTAATTCTAAGAGGGGTTTATCATATTGTTATGTGAAAGACTCGGGTGTTGTATATATATTGAGGGGTTGATTTTATCAACCAGAGACACTTTGAAAAACAAGAACATGGCCAGTAAAGTGGGGGTCATAAAGTTTTGTTAATTGGGTCCCGTGCTCCAAAGCAATACATTTAGGGTAGTCTGTGCTCTCACTGTAGGTGGGTGATACTGATGTAGGTCACATCTTCACTGAATCAGATTATTCTGTTCTAACCCTGTATTTTCTCAGCAGCTTTTAGGGTGTTGTTTTGTTTTATAGGGATCTAAAAATACATTTTTAGTTCTTGTTTTGTTTGTTTTCAGTGTTAGGTATAATACACAGAAATCCACAGGCATTGACATGCTTAACCCCAAGTCACCTCCCTTTCCCCCATTTATTTCTTGCGATTGTAGCCTCTGACTTCTAGTTTCCCCAACAGTTACAGTTCCTTACTGTCTATATCACTTACCTTTCTTGTGGCTGTGGTAGGATGCCTAGCAGAAGCAACTTAGGGAAAGATGGATACATTTTGGTTCACAGTTTGAGAGTACACTCCATTACAGTGAGGAAGTGGGCGTGTGAAGTTACTAATCACATTGCATCGACAGGAGGAACATGCAGAGAGAGGAACAAAACTGCTCAGCTCCTTTTCTTCTTGTCCAGGACCCTGACCTATTGATTGGTGCTGCCCATGTTTAGAGTGGGTTTTCCCTTATCAGTTAACCTAAACTAGGAACTCCTGCATAGGGGTAGCCAGAGGTTTGTTTCCATGTTGATTCTAAATCCTGTCAAATCTAACAATCAAGATTAATAATCACAAATCTACTTGTCAGCTTGCCATTCAAGCACAACACTTTTAAGCTATAATCTTCCACTTCTGAACTACATAGGTTCCTAGTTATCTGTGCAGATATATTCAGTCCAATTTCAAAAGTCCCACTAGTCTTTAACACTTGGAACACTGTTTAGATGTCCAAAATCAAATTCTCTTCTGAGTGATTGCTAAGCAAGCAAAAAGATCTGAATTTTAATCCTCAGCAACCATGTAAAAGCTGGGCATAGCTTCATGAACCTAAAACCCAGCATCGCAGGGTGGAGACAGGCAGATCCTGAAAGTTTGCTGGGTCCTTAGCTGAGCTTCAGGTTCAATGAGAAACTCTGTTTTTTCTGAGAGGGAGGGGAGGAGGGAGGGAGGGAGGGGAGGAGGGGGAGGGGGGAGGGAGGGGGGAGGGAGAGAGAACAATAGAGGACACATCCATATCATCCTCCAGCCTTCACATGCGTGCTCACATGTGTGCAGCACACACACAAAAAAGGGAGAATATATGAAAAACCCACACAGATTCACCAAATCTCACGTGCTAAACATGCTGGGTATTTCTTGCTTTGGTCAGATCATCCCTTATTCTGTCTGGACTCCAAAGGGCTTGGGTAGCTCCATTCTTTGATTTCTGCTACGTTTACACATATAGTTTCTCTTTTGGACCATCTCTACTCCTTGCCTGCAGCTTTTCTCATCAGATGACATATGGCTCTGGCATTTCCAGTGTTCTGGAGTGTACAATTTAGGCTTCCCCTGCATACCTTCAGGCAGCATCCTCTTGGCAGATATTCTAACTGCCACACATTGTCGTCTGGCTTTGGCAAGTCACCATGGTGCAAGTTTTATACCTCCCCACCCCTCACTCCCTTAATTTTGCAACTTTCATGTGGATCTGGGGAAACAGTTCCTTAAGCAGAGAACCCTTTTAGCTGTATATCCCCATAAACTCTTCACATTAACTTATATTGACAGAACCTTTGATGGGTGGACACTTTTCCTCTTGTCCCAGTTCAGAGTAATGTTTCTCTTTAATAGTGCTAGTAATAGCTAGTTACAGCTGGTTTTAAACCTCCCTTGTCTATAATTTTAAGTTTACTCAACTGTATTCTTTACTAAATTGCCTGTTTTTTATAATGTTCTGTTCCACTTTTCTCGTTTTTCAATGTAAACTTGGATGAGAGCAGAAAGCAATAACCATGACACAATTTGAATGTTCTTCTGTCTTTACATCTCTTCTGCCAAACAAAATAGTCCATTACTTTTTAGTTCAGGTTCTCAGAATGCAACCTCACTCTTTACCAGACTCTAAGATGCGTGGCCTTCAGTCTGGCTGCTTATAACGTCCTTGTTCCCTTCTGAAACCTTATGATCTGGACCTCTATGTCTACATTTTCCTCAGTATTCTGGTCTTCCAGATTCCTATGAGAATGGCCCATTTAACTCTGCTTATTGAATTCTAAGGCTTTTCTAACCCAGTGTTTCAAACTCCTCCACACTTCACCTTTAAACCAGTTACAAAGGCCTGTGACCCGCAGCCAAGTTTATCACAGCAACAGCTCCACTTCTTGGTACCAGTTTTCTGAATTAGTTTTCCTGTTGCTCTGATAGAATACCTGATAGAAGCAACTTGACTCACA